TGGGACCCCACAGACACACTCACACAGTTACAACACTTGAAACAGATACAGAGACTAAAATTCTATCAAACAGGCCACAATTAAATACAGTTCACCGATACCCAAAATCACAAGACCAAAATCAGCACTATAACAGGCCACAAACCAAACCAAATTCCGAACACTTTTTAACCTTTTCTGCAAGACACCCCATGCGTCTTGCAGGACCCAAACCACAGAAGCCCCCTGCTTCCTTTGGGTATATACCAGTAAAATCAAAAACATTTTCTGCAAGACACCACCTGTATCTTGCAGGACCCAAACCACAAGAAGCCCCCTGCTTCTTGTGGGTGTATACCGAACGGACGCTAGCAGCCGGGTATACGCCTTTACCTACGAGATTTCCTATCTCGATTTACGGAAGGCTTCCAAACCATGCGTACGCTTACCAAACCAATTTACCAAACCAGTTTACCAAACCAATTTACCAAACCGAGGTGCCCCCTGCACCTTACAGACTATATAAAAGAAAACAATACCTTTTAGGAGATGGTCCTTGTCTGCTCCCGGAGCGATCCGAATGAGCTGAGGGGTTCCTCCGGGAAAAATTCCCGAGGGCCCTAGGGAGCCCTCTCCTCAGTGGGTCCTGCAGCCGTGCAGAGAGGGTCCCACCTGGGTCGCCAAATTGATTCAGAGAAAACTCCAGGAACAAACTTGCCAACAAAGTTTTCAAGCTGACAAGCAGGTATTCTTTATTACGGCACCGGGAGACATGGGGGATAACTCCACCTAGCGTGTATGTCTCTAACTGCCACACAAGCCGTCCTCTTATAGCTCCTGGGCATACATACATATTCATGAGGCTACATATGGATTACATCACTTTCCAGAGAGTTCCCCGCATGCGTACAGAATTGTGGTGGTGGTCTCTGAGGGTCGTTTACTTCTTCCAACAAACTTCATCACTTCTGGCAGCCTTTGAAGCACGCGCAGTAGATGCACATACCAGTTTAATTGGTTCGTTAGCACCAGAGACATAATAATCCATCCTCCTACTTATCAGTTAGTTTAACTGTAGCCCATCCTGGATACCTGCAGTTCCCAGATACCCCTTATCCCTGTGTCCTGTTTTTCTAGGCTGTTTTTTTCTTAAAGCTATGTCAACTATAACGATTTATCGTGTGAGAATTCTCAGGATGTTCTCTAGCTGCACTTTCTTTATATATTTTTCTCTATGTACCCTGCACCTCAGTAATTTTCCATTGCTACTGTTACAAAGTCATGAAACTTAACACTACTTAAAGCTACTTCTAAAGATTTCTATATCCCATTTAGTAATTTCGTGCCCCCCCTTGTCTCAACAGCCAACATATTTTAGAAATGGTAACATTTGATGCAATCTCAGAAGCATAGAGCTGAGCAAGGGTTTAAAAAACATGGAAGAATGGTAGGTAAGTACGTGGATTCCTAAGCTGTGCTTGGCTGTGTGCCCTTGTGTTTACCTGTACTCAAGCTGACTAATTTTAAAATAACCTGGATCTGTGAGCAGGATCTGGATCTTTCTGCACAGCCTGAGCACTGTAGTTTTATCTAAACAATTTCACACTAGCAGTAGCGGGTTAAGGATTTCCTGTCCTCGGCTTCTTGCCTATGCACTCATGCTAGCACCAGCTAGTTTGGAGCCTGCTGTGTCAGTAACCTGATTCTGACTGAAAATAACCATGTAAGACTCCTCCAAACCCAACGTTTTTTTCTGAAAAGAAAGAATGCTGTCAAGTCACATCCAGAGACTTCAGCATTCTGTAATAGTAGGCATAATGAATGTGAAGTAGGTTGGAAGAAATTTCTAGGGGACAATCCATATTCTAGTTATAGTTAATAACTTTAGTAATGATATGTAATGGAGACAGAGAAATAATAAACTACTGGATCATTTAATTTGGTGGGGTTTAAAATGTTGGTACCAAATGAAACAAATGGGAGATGGAAGAAATGAAATCAGGAAACCTCACATAAAACATACTGCAAAAATATGCAGACTGAGTATTCTGTGCAGTCATTATACATATACATAGGTTTTAATGAAGGGAGCTTACAGGAGAAAACTTTTAAGTCATAGAATCATAGAACAGTTAGGTTTGGAAAAGACCTTAAGATCATCAAGATCCAGCTCCCCTGTATGGGCAGGAACACCTCTCACTAAATCATGTCACCTAAGGCTCTGTACAGCCTGGCCTTGAACACTGCCAGGGATGGAGCATTCACAACCTCCCGGGGCAACCTATACCAGTGCCTTACCACCCTAACACGAAAGAATTTCCTCCTTATATCCAATCTAAACTTCCCCTGTTTAACTTTTAACCCATTACCCCTTGTCCTATCACTACAGTCCCTAATGAAGAGTCCCTCCCCAGCATCCCTATAGGCCCCCTTCAGATACTGGAAGGCCGCTATGAGGTCTCCATGCAGTCTTCTCCAGGCTGAACAGCCCCAACTTTCTCAGAGTATCTTCATATGGGAGGTGGCCCTCCTCTGGACTTGTTCCAACATTTTTATGTCCTTTTTATGTTGAGGACACCAGAACTGCACACAGTACTCCAAGTGAGGTCTCATGAGGCAGAGTAAAGGGGCAGGATCACATCCTTCAACCTGCTGGTCACGTTTCTTTTTATGCAGCCCAGGATATGGGTGGCTTTCTGGGCTGCAAGCGCACACTGCCGGCTCATGTTCATTTTCTCATCGACCAGCACCCCCAAGTCCTTCTCTGCAGGGCTGCTCTGAATCTCTTCTCTGCCCAGCCTGTAGCTGTGCCTGGGATTGCTCCGACCCAGGTGTAGGACCTTGCACTTGGCATGGTTAAACTTCATGAGGTTGGCATCAGCCCACCTCACAAGCATGTCAAGATCCCTCTGGATGGCATTCCTTCCCTCCAGTGTATCCACCGAACCACACAGCTTGGTGTCATCAGCAAACTTCCTGAGGGCGCACTCAATCCCACTGTCCATGTCACTGACAAAGATGTTAAACAAGACCTGTCCCAACACTGATCCCTGAGGGACACCACTCGTTACTGGTTTCCAGCCAGACGTTGTGCCATTCACCACAACTCTTTTGTGTATGGCCATCCAGCCAGTTCTTTATCCACCAAGTGGTCCATCCATCAAATTGATGTCTCTCCAATTTAGAGACAAGGATGTCGTGTGGGACAGTGTCGAACGCTTTACACAAGTCCAGGTAGATGACATCAACTGCTCTACCGCTGTCCCCTATAGCCCTATCATAGAAGGCCACCAAATTGGTCAGGCAGGATTTCCCCTTGGTGAAGCCATGCTGGCTGTCTCCAAGCACCTTGTTGTTTTTCATGTGCCTCAGCATGCCTTCCAGGAGAATCTGCTCCAAGATTTTGCCAGGCACAGAAGTGAGGCTGACTGGTCTGTAATTGCCCGGGTCATCTATTTTCCTCTTATTGAAAATGGGGGTTATATTTCCCTTTTTCCAGTCGTCGGGAACTTCACCTGACTGCCACGATTTTTCAAATATGATGGCCAGCAGTTTAGCAACTTCATTTGCCAGCTCCTTCAGGACCTGCGGATGGATTTCATCAGGACCCATGCACTTGTGTATTTTCCAATTTTTAAGTCATTAAAATGTGTAAATTATAGTCTGTGTTTAAACACTTGATGCATTTTCTTAGTCTGAATTTATGTTGCCAGCATCTTGGTGGCATAGTGGCATTTACCAGTGGTGTGACCATCAGATAAATAAGGCTGTGGTCATAAGTCCCAGGTGTAGCTGGAGATGTGGTAATAGCATTTGGTTTTGCAAGAATAGTTTATTTCATTCTAGGGAGTAGACTGAAAAACTATAATATTGATTCTACAGTCATGTTGGGTTTCCTTTAGTGTAGATTTTTAATAGTAGAAGTGCATTTGTTTTGTATGAATTAAAAATAATGACTTAAACGTTTTGTTACCTGATTCATGTGAGAAGTTAGAGCACTGGCTGAAAGATTTGTTAAGGGAATACTGGAATTATTTGAATCAGGTGAGCTAAGTCACCAGCTTGTTGTCAAGGAGAAAGTTACTTCTGCTAATTTGCTGTGAAAATTGCTGCAATTCAATGTCAGGCTTTCTCGTTCCAGAGGGGACCTTGGAATAAGTAACCGTGATACTGCAAAATTTATTGTCACACTGTACTAATATTTTCCAACATTTTGTGGGAGCTCTTCAGTCAAGAGCTTCTTAGATTGTGTAATTTCATGTGTTTAAATCTGTTTTATAACCAATTTCAGCTTGTGTAACTGATTTTTAAAAAAGGCATTCTTACCGATCCTTACGTTTTCCTATTACTTAACATTCAGACAAAACCTCGCAAAATGAGAGTGTTTGGACTGACAGTCCTGTTAGGAATTTAGCATTTTTTCCTTCATCCTTGAGGAAATACATGTTCAGTAATACAACTGTAGTTAAGTGTTGTAAGTATTACATAGATGAGTGTGAGATGAGAACACATAACGCACTTCTATGTGTTGAGGTTATGCGTCATGAAGATACCAGGGATAAGGCTGCTTTCCTGCCCCCTTTTTTTCTTTAAGATTATTCAAAATTATTCAGATGGTAATCTGGCATTACCTACATCTGAAGTGTTAATGGTCTCTTAATAACTTCTCAAGGTCTTCACAGTACTAGGGAATTGTGGAAAAACAGGGTTTAACTTTTTCACAGCAAGCATATAATATGCACATAGAGAAATCAGACTAGAGATAAATTCAGGGTTGCTAGATGATCTTTGTGGTATTGCAGACTTTCTTGTGGTCTTGTCTTCGCCTGTTTTTAAATCTGATGAAGTCTGGACTTGCCAAGCAAGTCTTAGGTTGTAGAATTCAAAAGATGAAGGAAAAAAGTTCAAATAATGGAACTTCTGAAGATTTAACAGAGAGAGAGGTGGTGTCCAGAGCAATTTGAAGACTGGTAAATTAGAGATAATGTCATAAGTATAAATATATTTGTGTTTTATTTCAGCTGGCTTTTGAAACTATGAGTGTAATATCCGTTGTTACTAATTGCGTACTGATTGGAATGTCTCCACAAGTGAATGCCCTTTTCCCAGACTCAAAAATGGAACATATTCTGACTGTGGCATTGGTAGAGGTAAGTCTGCCTTCAAACACTGCATGTGCTTTAGTAACATGAAATATAAACAGTGGAAATTATACCCGGAAGTAGACTCCTCCCAACCTTATATTAAAAGGAAATTAAGGTTTCCCTACCAACGTAGTGTTCAAAACTCTTGCTTTTTGATTCCTTTCTATGTTTTCATGTGCTGTGAATGTTGTTGCCATACTTCTCCATACATTTGCAAGATGCCCTGTATTTGTTGCTTCGTGTATTTCAAGAATTTAATATTGTTATTTTAAGAAGCAAAATAACTACTTTTTTGGTGAAGTGGTGTCATGGTTTAAGCCCAGCCGGTAACTCAGAATCATGCAGCCACTCGCTCACTCTCCCCCTTCTTCCCCCCCACTCACAGAGGGGTGGGGGCTGGGGGAATCAAAAGAATGTAACTCCTACAGGTTGAGATAAGAACAGTCCAGTAACTAAGGTATAACACAAAACCACTGCTGCTACCACTGATAATAATAATGATAAGGGAAATAACAAGGGAAGAGAATGCAACTGCTCACCATGCTCTGACTGATACCCAGCCCAACCCAAGCAGCGATCTAGCCTTTCTGGGTAACTGCCCCCAGTTTATATAGTGGGCATGACGTGCTGTGGTATGGAATACCTCTTTGGCTAGTTTGGGTTGGGTGTCCTGTCTCCACTTCCTTCCAGCTTCCGCTCCTCCCTGGCAGAGCATGAGACTCAGGGAAGTCCTTGGTCAGAGTAGACATTACTTAGCAACAACTAAAACCGTCAGTGTTATCAGTGTTGTTCCCAGGCTGAAAGTGAAAACCACAGCACTGCCAGCTACTAAGGAGAAAAATGACTGTTGCTGCTGAACCCAGGACAGCTAGTTATTTCTCTGCTCAGTTTGTGACCCCAGGATATTCTACGAAACCCTCCTACATCATCTTTATAGATGTTTCCTGTAAGGCTTATCCAAAACAAGTGTGTATGATGACTTGTGCTTGTAACATACTAGTGATTGTAACAGCGTTTGGGTTTCATTTTTTAATAATTCTGTGTAGTAAATGCTTGAGTGTCATTCATTTTCAGGCAAGGAGATGGGATTGTTGTTCATTTTGTATAATAACTGAGATTGCAGGACTTTGTCCTTAGGTACTTTCTCTCAGAGCTGTCTTGTATTTAATTGCCTTGACTTTCGTCATTGCACTATTTTGGCTTTTAGGAACTTGATTATTTTTCCTGTGGCAAAACATCTGGTTTCTCTGTGTGTTGTTACTAAGGTGCATTACCTTACAGAGGTGCAGCGGGTGCACACACTGTGTTGTTTTTACAGGTGTTAAGCATTATGCAGTGAATTATGAGCTTGCTTTCAGGGTTTTTTACCATATCTTAGTGTTTACAGAGTTAACTCCTAAATATGAATAATGTCAACTGATTTACTGAAGTTTGAGTCTGCAGACACCCTGATGTATTCTGTTATGCATGTGTGAACATTTGCATTAACCTTAGGTATTTTAATATAAAACTAATTTGGCAGTTTAAGCATAATGCTGTGGTTCATTAATGGACAATATATCCAGAGAGATTGTATTATGAAAACCGTATCACTAAATCTAAGCAGTATGGACTTAATGGCAGCTTAAAGAGATGGGGCTATTTTGTTTTGTACACAGAAGCAATTTTGGTAATGACCACTGATTTGTAATGAACATTGTATGAAGAGACTGGTGGAGGCTAATGGCAGATGAGCCAAAAGAGAGGAAAGGCAACCATTTCATATATATATAAAAGTCAAGTTTTCTCTTACTGCTTTTCTGAGTTAAAAACAACCCCCTGAACAACCATAATGACATAATGCACTGGTCAGAAAAGGAATGTTTAAAAACCAGTTTTAATCACAAGTATCCAGTATGCAGGATACTTTTAAGTATGCTGCTCTGATTTGTGTTTGTTTTGTGATACTACAAACTATTATCTGAGAAAAAGCAAAGACACAAAACCATCATATGAGTCATATAACACTTTTCTGCAGCATAACAGGCCATGTGATTTTAGGAATGTTGCTGGTTATAAACAATTCCAAAACTGCTTAATGTCAAGTTTAAAACTTCTGCAGCCTCATAAAGGACAGTCTTTCAGTACATTTTAAACAATATTTAAGAAGTTCACTGGTGTGGATTTAGTTGGCTTCTTTTAAAGTGTCAGTGAATAGCTCAGGTTGTACAGTCTTGCAGGGAGTTTTGAAACACAAATTATAAAGCTTCTGGAGTCCAGAAGAGTTCTCCAGAGTGAAACACATTTTACAATATATGAAGATGAACACAACAAACATGATTTCATTCCTGTTGAAGGCAGTTTCCATTTGCGTTGACAGTTAAACATGTTCTCAGTTACAGAAATAATTTTTTCAACAGTAGTTATATTGTACATATTTCAGGTTAAAATTGAATTTAAAAAGGTAGAAAGAAGGGAGAACTACTAGATGCTGTGGGGCTATGAACAGCAGAAGTATGGATTTATGGCAGCTTAAAGAGATGGGGCTATTTTTGCCTTTGCTTCCTGGGCATGTATTCCTTTCTTATCTGTTACATTGGCACTTTCTTTTATCTGGTGCATGGTGAGTCAGATTAGAGAACTGATCTGGGAGAAGCTGTCTAACCCAGTTCACTACTGAAAGAGAGCAGGGCGGAAGCAACTGTGTGGAAGACACACAGTAATGCTGTAGGTTTGTGCTGGATTAAATATGTGGGACTTCTGTGCCTCTGAGTCTTTCTCCTGTAAGTATTACTTCATCTGTAGGAAGATGCCTGAACTACAAGAGGAGTACAAATCTCACATACTGGCAGTATTCCCATGTACCTCTGCTAAATTTGTTAATGATTAAACTGTGCATTTCAGTTGTAAAGAAGAATTCAGGAGCAGAATGTATCACTTTAAACCTCTAGGACAGACCTGGTGTGTCTGAAGTACGTTAGTATCAAGGTAGGAAAAAGTTCTATTGGATGTTCCAGGGTGTTGACAGAAAAGCATTTTGGATCGCTTAGTATAGATTCAGAAAAAAAGGTACAACTGAGTTACTTTACTTTCTGATGTTTACTGCAGGGGAAGATGAGAGTATTACGGTGTGTTTATGCTGTTTTGACAGCAGTTTGGTAGTCAGTGTGAAAATGTTAAGGAACACAAGAAATTTCTTTTATGAGGCTACATATGCTTTCACGTGTTCAATTGATAGGGTAACTGACTTAAATGTTAGCTGCCATTAGATGTTTTTATCAGGTTTAAGTTATTGAGACTCCAGTTGGACATTTATGTATCTATTTGATGCAAAGCTAAACAGAATAAGCACTGTTCTTGCCAAGGCTGAGTATGGATATTAGCAATATCCTGATTTTTTTTTTTTTTCAACAAAAAAAAATAGTGCTTTGTAATAATACCACTGGTGCTCTTCAAATGGACATGTTTATATGACGACATTTGACATAAGTCAGTGCGGACATAATGAGGAACTGTACATGATATTCTTGTAAGCTTCCTGCACCCAGTCCCTACAGCTTTATGCAAAATAATGTTTTTGGTGGTTTTTAATGAAGGGAGCTTACAGGAGAAAACTTTTAAGTCATAGAATCATAGAACAGTTAGGTTTGGAAAAGACCTTAAGATCATCAAGATCCAGCTCCCCTGTATGGGCAGGAACACCTCTCACTAAATCATGTCACTCAAAGCTCTGTCCAGCCTGGACTTTTAACACCGCCAGGGATGGAGCATTCACAACTTCCTTGGGCAACCCATTCCAGTGCCTCACCACCGTTATTGTAAAGAACTTCCTCCTTATATCCAATCTAAACTTCCCCTGTTTAAGTTTTAACCCATTACCCCTTGTCCTGTCACTACAGTCCCTAATGAAGAGTCCCTCCCCAGCATCCTTATAGGCCCCCTTCAGATACTGGAAGGCTGCTATGAGGTCTCCATGCAGCCTTCTCTTCTCCAGGCTGAACAGCCCCAACTTTCTCAGCCGATCTTCATATGGGAGGTGCTCCAACCCCCTGATCATCCTCATGGCCCTCCTCTGGACTTGTTCCAACAGATCCATGTCCTTTTTATGTTGAGGACACCAGAACTGCACACAGTACTCCAAGTGAGGTCTCATGAGGCAGAGTAAAGGGGCAGGATCACATCCTTCAACCTGCTGGTCACGTTCCTTTTGATGCAGCCTAGGATACGGGTGGCTTTCTGGGCTGCAAGTGCACACTGAAGCCAGCTCATGTTAAGTTTCTCATCGACCAACATATTCCCATGTATCTGTGATGTAGTTTGCAGTAGCATTTCTTTGTATCATTTTTACTAGAAACCTTCCTTCTCAGGGACTATGATGTTCTTCCTGTCTCCAAAGTTGTATATAATTTCTTTGTCTAAGGTTGGTTTGGTTCGGTTTTAAACTGTGTGTAGCACTGAAGGATAAATCCAATTCATCATCTGTATCCTCACATGATTGAGATGCAAAATGATTGGCTCTAAGCAGGTAATCAAATCCAAAAGAAGAAAATGTGGGGTTTGCAGCTGCAGTTTGAAAAGAGATGGAGAAAAATCAGTAGAACTTTACAAATCGCAGGAGAAAGCCAGTCGTACATGTATTGGAGCCTCCATATTGTTGATTTAGATACAAACACCTCTTGTCAGAGAGAGTCTTCATGATACGGTATTGTTGTGTCCGTGTTTTCCAGTTATAAAATGACAGAAGAATTTGATTTTACTAAATTTTCTTTGCAGTAACTTCTAACACTTTGATTTGGAGATTTAAGCCTTCTGAATTGACTTTTGTGTTCATGTTCTTGATTTTGTTACACACCTCCTCAATGTTACAAATGTAATTACTAGTCATTTATGGGAAACTTGCAGTATGAGATCTACAGTCTTTTACTTAAAAAATATCTCAATTTGTTGCTATAGTTTTTCCCCTCCAGATCCATTTTAGAAAAAGTTCCAAAGCACCATGAACCCCAAAACATCTCTTCGGGGTTTGT